GTGCAGGTTACAACAGCTGATCGCTCACCTTCCATATCACCGTCCTCTTAAGAGCTTCCTCAACTGTTGCAGGAACTACTCAGAGAAACCTGCAGATGAAAGCCTCGGTGCGCTCTCCCCACACGAACTCCCAGGCAAACTCCCGCTGTTAGCCTCTGCTGTTCGCCGCAGAGTCAGGATTCCTGGGTTCTATCTCCAGCGCTGTGAGATCTAGTGGGTTGGAGCTGGGGTGTGATGGGAGGCAGGGCTGAGAGTCAGGACTCCTGGGTTCTATCCAGGGGGTGGGGTTTATTTGCTCATCCTAGTGTGCATTTTTCCACCCTCAGGGCCCTCTGATGCTGTGAAGATGTCCCTTGGTTTGTCTCTGGCTGCCCATGGCTCCCAGATCCTGGTAGGTACCGTGCATGGGTGGGGGATGGGTGCTGGGACTGGGGTCTGACACTCGCTCCCTGGGAATGCCATGGGGCAGCTCCCCCAAACCCCACTCCTCACAGCTGGTAGTAACGGCTGTGTCAGCGCTACTGGGGTTCTTGGGCAGAGTTCATGATTGGGTGACATAATTGTGATGTAACTTTATGGGGGTCTTTGGTAACTCCCGTAATTAGTGGGGAAAGGTGGTCGCTGGGTGATGTCACCAAGGCAACAGTGACTATGAACTGACTTAGCAGTGAGCATGGTGACCAGCTGACATTGCCATGGAGACAGTTGTCATGAGATGATGTTGTAAGAGATGGAGGTAACAAGGTGATGTCGCCATGGTGACATTGATTGTGCACTGCCATAGCAGGGCGTGTGGCAACTGGATGACTTCACCGTGGCAACCTTGACTGTGCACTGCCATAGCAGGGAGGGCTGTAACTGGTTGATGTAGACATGGCGCCAATGATTGGGCGTTGCCATAGCAGGGAGTGTGGTAACTAGGTGATGTCCCTGTGTCACTCCCCTGTCCCCTCTGGGAAACGAGTGCTGGGTCCAGGGGTCCCATCTGCCCTATGGGAGTCCCCTCTCCTGGCAGGAACTTGCATATCCATGGGGAGAAGGCCCTGGCTCTCCCGCACTGGGGCTCTACTCAGGAGAGCCCAGTGACCCCGTCCCTCTCTTGTGCCCAGGTGTGCGGCCCCACGGTGCACCAGGCCTGCGGGGAGAACATGTACGTCAAAGGCTACTGCTTCCTCCTGGACCAGAGACTCCAGCAGCTCCGGCGCATCCCGGACAGTTTGCCAGGTGAGGGGCAGTCCAGGGGGTGGGGAACCAGCACCGAGGGGACAAGTGGGGTGGGGGGAGAGATATGGGCCAGCAGGGGAGGAGGAGGAATGAGGCTAGATGGGTCCTTGGTCTGATCTGGGGCAGCAGGGACGGGACCCGGCTAGATGGGTCCAGGGGCCTGTACGAGGGTGGCGGGGAGGGGGCGGGATACCAGGCTAGATGGGCAGATGTCTTGGCAGTTTCACTGCCATTTGGTGTCTCTTGGCCCATCTAGCTGAATTTCTCTGTGTAACCCCCACCCTCCCCATTCCCCAGAGTGTCCCAAACGCCCCACAGACATCGTGTTCCTCATTGACGGCTCAGGCAGCATTGATTACCATGACTTTGAAACGATGAAGACGTTTGTCATCGAGGTCATAAGGCGTTTCCGTGGCACCGACACGCTGGTAACTGGCAGCCGCTGATTCCAGACCCTTGAGCCGCCAGCATCCCTTGCCCCTGGCAGGCAGGGCAGCATCAAAGGGTGCTGAGATGCAGGGAGCGGGCTGGGGGCTCATACAGGGCCCTTTCCCCTCACAGTTGTGTTGACCCCAATGCCCCAGCATCTGTGCTATTCTGACTCACTCTTACTCCACCCTACCCTGTTCCCCCTCTTGTCTCCCAGTTTGCCCTCATGCAGTTCTCCAGCACTTTTAAGGAACACTTTGACTTCAATAAGTTCAAGAGCACCCGCGACATAGATTCACTCATCCATCAAGTTACACCGCTCGGAGACTATACCCACACGGCCACTGCCATCCAGAAAGTGGTGTAGGTACCTCCTCTTCCCCTACAAGTGCTTTCCTTCCCACCCCACAGACATGGAGGCTGAAAGAACTAACCCCTCTGCCCGTGCCACATTTCCAGGACGGAGCTGTTTATCTCACAGAAAGGATCCCGGGATGGAGCTGCCAGGATTCTCATTGTGGTAACAGACGGCATGAAAAATGATTACCTTCAATACTCAGACGTGATTCCAGAGGCAGAGAGAGCTGGGATCATTCGCTACGCCATCGGGGTGAGATCTATCTATCCTAATGCTCACCTACAGAATCACAGAGCTTTGTTGGGACACTGCAACAAATTCAGCCACCCAGACATCACTTGTAGTTGGATCTAAATGACAGGAAGTGCAGGATTCATGTCCTCTAGGTCAGGCTTATCTATTGTGGACAGACTGTCTGCAGAAGATGGCAGTGGGCTGAGGTCCCAAGCACACCCTGGCAATTCCACCTCCACAACTGGTCTCCCATTATAAGCTACCTGCTGGGTATCTGAATTTTCTTCTACATCCCTCTGGGATAGTGGTTGAGCAGCCTCCCGGTTTGCCCTCCTTTTTCCTTCAATCAATCTGTTTGCCGACTCTCAATGCATTACAAAGGGGCACACGCTTGTGTCTTGTATGAGAACAGACAAGTTGTTTAGTTTTAATCACGGTGTAAGGCCCCTCCAAAAAGAAGGAAGTTGGGTTTTTTTTATCCAGGCTGCTTTTTCCAGGTGTCAGAAAAAAGAACAGGAGGACTTGTGGCACCTTAGAGACTAACAAATTTATTAGAGCATAAGCTTTCGTGGACTACAGCCCACTTCTTCGTAACCAAAGCTTCTCTCCTTTGTGGATGGGCACGAAATTTTTCTGACGTCTTGTGCCTGTGTAGTAAGTCGCAGCACTCACCGGCGCAGCGCCTCCTGCTGGTTACCTCGGGAATTAGCTCTTCCAGCACTGGAGCGCCTTCTGCTGGCCAGTGTCTCTCCTGCTGTCACTACTTGTCTTACCACTGATGTCAGTCTAGGCCCTGCATCCCACCTGGCCCATGGTGTCCCTTCTCTGGGGTACTACCCCGCAGCAGTGCCCCCACACTCTGGGTCTCCCCTCCCAGGGGAACCCCAACCCCCTATACCCACCTTGCCTCAGTAGCTACTGCCAGTCGTCATCTAGCCCCTTCTTTCAGGGGCAAACTGCAGTCTGAAATGGACAGTCATCACTGGCAAGGGTTGGATCCTGCTGCCTTTCTAGTCCAACCTGCTCTTTCTCAGGTACCTTGCTTGTTCTCCCAGGCAGCCTGGTCATCTCTGCTTCCCAGCTGGAGGAAGAGACGTCTCTCACCCTCTCAGCCTGCCCTTTTATCAGGGCCAGCTGTGCCCTAATTGGGTGCAGCCACACCAGTGGCTGACCACCCAACCAGCCTCCCTTGGCTGCTTTTAACTCCTTTCTGACTGGAACAGAGTGACCGGCCCGCTACACACCCTCAAAATCCCAAGGCCAAAAGTATAACTGGGTTCAAAAAAGAATTAGATAAATTCATGGAGGATAGGTCCTCAAAGGCTGTTAGCCAAGAAGGTCAGGGTGTCTCATGGTATTTCCCTAAGCCTCTGGGTGTCCCTAAGCCTCTGACTGCCAGATGCTGGGATGGGACAACAGGATGTATCTCTTCTGATTTAGGGTTACCATACGTCCTCTTTTTCCCGGACATGTCCGGCTTTTCGGCAGTCAAACCCCCGTCCGGGGGGAATTGCCAAAAAGCCGAACATGTCCGGGAAAATGGCGGCTCTGCTCCTCCCCGACTCTTCGGCTCTGTTTAAGAGCCGGGCTGCCCGAGAGCTACCGGCTTCGGGC